TTTGTTGTACCCATGCTGCATTGAATATTCTGTGAAGCCATCTGATGCTGCTTTCACCTGCTCCTTGAATTATTTCTGTTGGTAATCTATCAGCTCCTGGTGCTTTATATTTGGGAGACTGTTTAATGACTTTTTCTATTTCATCCATTAGTATGTGTGGTTCTAACACTGTTGCTCTGTGCTCTTCAGTTGTTCTTTCCTGATGATCTCCTAGAGGATTAAAGAGCTCATTGAAGTATTCCCTCCATCTTTCTGCTATCTCGGGTGGATCTATCAATGGCCTTCCTGTCTTATCATTAATTATTTCAGTGGGGTTGTAGCTCTCATCTCTTTTCCGCATATTTTTAACCACTTTGAAAAATTTTCTGCTGGCTGTTTTCTCATTTTCTGCTAGTGACTCACCGAAACGTTCCCAGGATGCTTGTTTTGCTTTCTTGACACTCCTGTTGGTTTCTCTCCTTTGCAGTCTATAGTTTGTATAATCTTCTTCTTTCTTTGATTTTATCCACTGTTTATATGTCTTTTAATTGCTTCTTTTACTTCTTTGCACCACCAAGGTAAATATTTGTTATTTCCCCGTCTGTTTCCACTTTTCCTTTTTCCACACAATTCTTCTGCAATACTAAGCATAGTGTTTTTATATATACTCCATTCTTCCTCAATATTGCCAACTACATGTGGAAGTTGTTTGAATGCTGTCTCTACTTTCTGTTGTAACTGTTCTTTTACTCCTTCCTGTTTCAGATTTGCTATCTTGATGAGATCCTTGTTTTTGTTTAATTTCTTTCTGTGTTTCTTTAATGTAAGATGTTTTGCGGTTAACACAACTATTTTAAGGTCAGTGTCACATAGACCATTTGGGATTGCTCTTGAATCAAGAATTCTCCTTCTTCCTTGAACTCTGGTAAGTATAAAGTCAATCTGGCTCTTGATGGGGACATCATTCCATTTGTACCAAGTGTAAAGTTGTGAATCTCTATGATCAAAGAATGTGTTCGTAATAAAAAGATTGTGCTGGCTGCATAGATCCAATATTCTTTGACCATTTCCATTTCTAGCACTGTTCTTAGCTGCATATGGACCTAAAAACTGTTCGTATTCACTTCTGTTATTGCCTACCCTCCCGTTGAAGTCACCCATTACATATAGTATGCTGCTTCCCTCAACTTTCTTTATCTCATCAGACAGATCGTCAAAGAATTCATCTTTCTGCTCTTCTGTATAATTATCATTGGGTGGTGCATATATCTGTATATATGTTTCAGCTTGTTCTCCTCTTTTAATTTTCAAACTGGCACATGCATATCAAATACACTGGAGAAGGTCTTCAGCCAATATTTCAGAGCGTCATCTGAATCATGGAGTTGATAAACGTGGTCAAGAGGCGAATTGAATAAGTCTAGTAGGAATGCATCTTGATTAAAATTGTTATAGCTTCTAAATTTAATACTTACATGTTTTTGTTTGAGTTTTTACGCCTTTTTTATTCCACACACAAATTACGGGGTAATGGTCACTCAATGCTGTAATGGGTACCTTGCATTCTATAATGTTGTCAGGACATGTTGCATAAATATGGTCTATAAGGGTTGACGACGATTTTGTTATTCTAGTAGCTTGTTCGACTAATTGTTTAAGATTAAATGAGATACTGTAATTATGTTTTCCCACGTCTTGTTGGATTTTAGTTCATTTATATTGAAGTCCCCAAGAAAAAGAATGTCCCCTACATTATTGAACACCGTATCCATTATATTGGTAAAGCTGTCATACCATATATTATCAGCGCTAGGATTGCGGTAGAAATAACCAACTACGATGGGTCTGTGATTTTGTAGCTTAACTTCTAAAAATATGCATTCTACATCGCTAGTCTCTAAGTCTAGTCTACGTTGGACATTGTGAATTACTGACGTAGACCACTATACCCGTCTCTTGTTTCTTATGTGGGTCTCTCCTAATAACACTAAAACTATTGACATGTATATCATCATCTGTAATGTTGTCATTTAATCTACTCTCACTAAGGCCGAACATCTGAAAATTTTGACTAAGAATAAGGGACGGTTCGGGCAGTTTTCCCAGAAGATGGCAAATATTCAGATGACCTAATCTAAGCACAGTTTTACTAAGCCAGTGCTCATGTGTGTCAGACATTATAAACTGCAGTGTGGCAATAGAATATAAGCTATGCCAGCATCAGCATGTACTAAGTTATACACAAAATATTATTCAGGCAATACAAGAGTAAAACAAATTTACAACAATAATATAGTATTGAGAGAGGAGGGAAAAAAAGGGTAAAACAGTTAAAATAGAGATAGTGCAGGAAAAATGAATCACAATGTTTTAACTCATATACACCACCACCTAACTTACAGTTTAGCAGATTTAAGCAGTATTATAACTAGCTCAAAAAATATACAAAATAAGTGTAGTTTGATAGACAAATGCCTGTTTATAAGTATGGCTATGTAACCCACTGCTGATCAAGTGGGCAACACAGGAACAATGAAATAAGCGCTTTAAAAAACTGGTCCCACTGATATAGGGTTTTATAGGCACTTCTGTGTTGGGTTCGAGCTTTGTCCTGACTGGATATTTTAAATTCTTGGCCAGGATGCTCGTCCCTAGTGTAGAAGTGTGGATCTGGTCCTTATATAGGAGCTTTTTCGGGGCTCCAGACTGTGCCGTGAAAAATGCTGTGTGGTTGATAAAAGTTAAATTATTTTGTTTACAAAAGATCACTGGCACCTTATTGTTTCTGTCAGCCAGTCTACGCTGATAGCCAAACATCGGCGTCAGAATAGAATAAAAAACATTAGTAGATGAAGGATATGTACTACACAATGAATCTAGTAGATAGATAGATAGATAGATAGATAGATAGATAGATAGATAGATAGATAGATAGATAGATAGATAGATAGATAGATAGATAGATAGATAGATAGATAGATAGATAGATAGATAGATAGATAGATAGATAGATAGATAGATAGATAGATAGATAGATAGATAGATAGATAGATAGATAGATAGATAGATAGATAGATAGATAGATAGATAGATAGATAGATAGATAGATAGATAGATAGATAGATAGATAGATAGATAGATAGATAGATAGATAGATAGATAGATAGATAGATAGATAGATAGATAGATAGATAGATAGATAGATAGATAGATAGATAGATAGATAGATAGATAGATAGATAGATAGATAGATAGATAGATAGATAGATAGATAGATAGATAGATAGATAGATAGATAGATAGATAGATAGATAGATAGATAGATAGATAGATAGATAGACAAAATAAATAGATAGATAGAATAAAAAACGTTAGTAGATGAAGGATATGTACTACACAATGAATCTAGTAGCACCCGCATAGATAGATAGATAGATAGATAGATAGATAGATAGATAGATAGATAGATAGATAGATAGATAGATAGATAGATAGATAGATAGATAGATAGATAGATAGATAGATAGATAGACAGACAGACAGACAGACAGACAGACAGACAGACAGACAGACAGACAGACAGACAGACAGACAGACAGACAGACAGACAGACAGACAGACACTTAGACAGACAGACAGACACTTAGACAGACAGACAGATAGATAGATAGATAGATAGATAGATAGATAGATAGATAGATAGATAGATAGATAGATAGATAGATAGATAGATAGATAGATAGATAGATAGATAGATAGATAGATAGATAGATAGATAGATAGATAGATAGATAGATAGATAGATAGATAGATAGATAGATAGATATACAGACAGACAGACAGACAGACAGACAGACAGACAGACAGACAGACAGACAGACAGACAGACAGACAGACAGACAGATAGACAGACAGACAGATAGACAGACAGACAGATAGACAGATAGACAGATAGACAGATAGATAGATAGATAGATAGATAGATAGATAGATAGATAGATAGATAGATAGATAGATAGATAGATAGATAGATAGATAGATAGATAGATAGATAGATAGATAGATAGATAGATAGATAGATAGATAGATAGATAGATAGATAGATAGATAGATAGATAGATAGATAGATAGATAGATAGATAGATAGATAGATAGATAGATAGATAGATAGATAGATAGATAGATAGATAGATAGATAGATAGATAGATAGATAGATAGATAGATAGATAGATAGATAGATAGATAGATAGATAGATAGATAGATAGATAGATAGATAGATAGATAGATAGATAGATAGATAGATAGATAGATAGATAGATAGATAGATAGATAGATAGATAGATAGATAGATAGATAGATAGATAGATAGATAGATAGATAGATAGATAGATAGATAGATAGATAGATAGATAGATAGATAGATAGATAGATAGATAGATAGATAGATAGATAGATAGATGGATGGATGTATGGATGGATGGATGTATGGATGGATAAATAGATAGATGGATAGACAGATAGATGGATAGACAGATAGATGGATAGACAGACAGATAGATAGATAGATAGATAGATAGATAGATAGATAGATAGATAGATAGATAGATAGATAGATAGATAGATAGATAGATAGATAGATAGATAGATAGATAGATAGATAGATAGATAGATAGATAGATAGATAGATAGATAGATAGATAGATAGATAGATAGATAGATAGATAGATAGATAGATAGATAGATAGATAGATAGATAGATAGATAGATAGATAGATAGATAGATAGATAGATAGATAGATAGATAGATAGATAGATAGATAGATAGATAGATAGATAGATAGATAGATAGATAGATAGATAGATAGATAGATAGATAGATAGATAGATAGATAGATAGATAGATAGATAGATAGATAGATAGATAGATAGATAGATAGATAGATAGATAGATAGATAGATAGATAGATAGATAGATAGATAGATAGATAGATAGATAGATAGATAGATAGATAGATAGATTTATAAACAGACATGCAGATGAACAGATATGTGTACAAACACAGAAGTAACCTCTTTAAATCCTGAAGTCTGCTTTAGCAGTTCGGGGCCAATCTTCGACTTTCTCTTTCTGTTTAAGTTACAGATTGTGATCCCTGGAAATATTGCCCGACTTTCGTGTTTTAGGGTCACTATTGTTGTCACAGGATAACTATAGAAGTCAGAAATGGTGGTCACAAACTGGTAAACTGCAAATCCTAAAGCTAGCAGGCACAGACCTGACCACGTGACTCTTCTCCACGTACTGCTAACGGCAAACACTCTGCCGAGGCCATGCATGGACGTGTTCTCACTAAACTCCTGATACAATGCTTTCAGTGACTGAGTTTCTGCTTCTGCTGCTGTTTCATCTCTTGCCATTTTCCAACTGATGCAGGGAAATTTGAGTTATCTGTGTTTCTCTTTTTGCTTCACAGTTCAGTTTGGATTTATTGGCTGAAAAGACATGTAAAATAATGTGAACTTAATTTTCTGAAACCCAGACGAAAGGCATCTGAATTAACTTATGCATTGCGTGGATATAAGCGGAAATACCATCTGAAGATTTATGTGTTTGAGGCAATGAATGAGCTGATTGTACGGCTACACAACTTACAGCAGCTGGGACCCTCAAAATGATATTGTGGACATTTTGAAGAATAAGTATAATGGAACGCTGATGTGGGATTCAATGCCAGATGCTGCTGTTTGGTGCCAAATGCTGCTGTCCAATGCCAGAGGCTGCTGTTTGGTGCCAAATGCTGCTGTCCAATGCCAGAGGCTGCTGTTTGGTGCCAAATGCTGTTGTCCAATGCCAGAGGCTGCTGTTCAATGCCAGCCGGAAAAAACATATGAAGATTTATGTGTGTGAGGCAATGAATAAGCTGTTTGTACGGCTACAGTACAGCAGCTGGGATTTCGTAATTGTAACAGACTCTGAAAGCATGCTGAAAAAGGTGAGTACAGGGATGCTTCGAGAAGAGTGGCAAGCTTCACTGGAAAGGTCACGTATTGAGCATACTTTAGATCTTTCCTCCAGGCCATGTCAGCATGGTGGGTAATGAACGGGCAGACAGATTGGCTGGATCTGCACCACTGGGTGGTGAATTGACACATGACAATGCAGATGTTGTCAAGGCCCTTTAGGAACAAGCAAAAGAATCAGTATAGAAAGAAGATTATTACAGCCTGGAGAGAATGAGGCACCTGGGTGTAACCAGAGGGCCTGGCTGGCTCACTACACTCAGAGGAAAGGCAAGACGGACATTTAACCACATTGTGACCGGTACCATCAGTATTGGAACTCTGCGCTGGCTGCTGAAGATGAGGACGGAGCATGCATGGGAATGCCCCGAGTGCGGTGATGTGAATGCTGGACTTAACTCAACTGTCTTAGAAAAATGATGATAATCAAATGGGATAAATTCAAAAGGTGTGAAATCAGAGAAATGTATGAGAAACCAATAGTATCAACGGTTATAAGACAGAGAAGATGGTGCTACATTGAGCACTTCTTGAGAAGAAACCAGCAGATAATCACCAAACAGGCATTAGAAGTGGAAATAAATAGATTAGGGAGGCAAGGACGCCCAAAAGAAACCCTAAGACGAACGTTGATGAGAGAGGCCAAAACTGCTGGATTGGATTCTATCCATGATATTAAACTGATCGCAACAGACAAGGGAAAAGGGAAATTAGTAGTAGTAGATTTTTACCCCACTAGGACATCACACAAGCGACAAACACCCGATGACACAAAGTGCTACCATGTGGATGAGGATCACCGTGAAGAGGTCCCAGAAACCGCGTTCAGCCATTAGACCAGATTTATGGTCGGGCTATACTGCGGCCCTTGGCAAGAGCCAGAGTAGGGCTTCAAATAACAAAAAATTGCAGGTCACAAGGAGATGACTGGATTGCATAGACTGACTTTAAACCTCACCAGGACATCACACAAACAATAATCACCCGATGACACAAAGTGCCACCATGTGAATGAGGATCGCCCGTGGAGAGGTCCCAGAAAACGCGTTCAGCCTATTGGCCATTTTTATGGCCTGGCTATATTGCTGCCCCTGGCAAGAGCCAGGGTAGGGCTTCAAATAACGAACAATTTCATGCTAAGAAGGACGAAAGTTAAAATAATTGGATTGCATAGTAGGAGACGGGAAACAGACAACGAGCCCTATGTAACACGCAGTGGCACAACAGATAATAAACGAATGAATGAATAAATGAATTATTGAATGAATGAATGAATTAATGAATTAATTAATTAATTAATGATTAAATGAATGATTGAGTTAATGAATGAATGATTAAATGAATTGTTGAGTTAATGAATGAATGTATTAATTAATTATTTAAACAAGGATTAGTTCCCTTCAAGAAAAAGTATAACGGCTGCTACAATTCCTACTGCTACTACTATTACTACTGTTAGAACTACCACTGCTACGACCGCTACTTCCAACACTACTACAACTACTGCAACTATTACTAGACTGTTGCTACAACAGTTACTACTAATACATCATCTTCTTCTTCTTTCGTTCGCTTGAAATAAATTATCTATATCTGCAATGCTGTCTCTTGTATAAATTTCACTGTCTTTTGTAATTCACTAAGCGGCCCGTAAAGTTTGACTTCCACAAGTGTCTCTTTTGGCCAAAGGTTTTGCCTGAAAGCGTTGAATCTGGGAGTGTTGGAGGATGTGATCTGTTGTTTCAGGTGCTAGTCCACAAATACACATGGCTGATTGGCCAATCTTAAATTTGTTGTACATGTGGCAGCGAAGTCGATTGTGCCCTGTTCTAAGGCGAAGGATAATGACTTGCTCTGGTCTGTCCATAATATGGTAATCATCTTGTGCCAGTTTCGGTGGCATTCTGATTGATTTGATCATTCTCTTCTTCTGTTGATAAGAGACTGGTATGTCAGGTTGTTCTTCAGTTGCACCTTCCTTAGCTAGTTTATCAGCTCTTTCGTTTCCGGGAACTCCACAGTGGGAAGGTATCCACTGCATTACTAATTTACAGCGGTTGCCTAGTTCGGATAATAGTGTCCATACGGTAATTGCTTGGTAATTTTCCAGACTGAAGTGACTGAAGACTAATACATCTAATATTGTAACTACTTTTTCATAACGTTCTCCGGCTGCCAACTCCGTCGGAAAGGTTTGGTTATTCCTTCACTTCTGGTCTTTGTGGTCTTGTTTCAGAACTTGAGTTTTGTCTCCTCATCCTTTTTATAAATTGACTTGTTTTACACACACTGTTGGTACCTCGCCTTCAGGCATATCAACTTTTTCTGCAAGGGATTCACCCATCATTAGTGGACTTCCTTTACGACATGGTTGTTAGTGGACAGTGAGTCTATTGCCGCTTGGTCGTCCAGGTATGCTGACTGCTCTAACTATACTACCGCAGCGACTATGTAAATACAGTATCTCACAGTACCGTTTGCGAAGTCACCAATTTCGTCTTGTCCCTGTCCGGTAATACGTGCAGCAGGAGAAAATCAACCCTGAGCCTCATAAACTCAGGTGGGCCCACTCTCTGAAAATGTCTAGGAGCTCGTGGGCCGAAACATTTGTCGACGAGAGATTACTTCTACTGATGATTGGTAGACTCCTGCTGTACATGCTCCCCTGTGGAGTTTCTTCTTATTCCTTGTCCTAGATTGAGACTCCGGCGTACACACTTAACACTGCCGCTACTGTGAAGTAAGGGACCCTTTTCCACGCCATCGGGTGTATTTGGCATATAGGGCTAGACCTATAATTAAAGACCAATCGACACTCGATGGGTGGTCACCATCACACTGACCATCTTTACTTCCCAGGAATTTACTTGGTATCAGTTTAAGGGTTTGTCGACCTGGGAGCCAAGGTTAGTCAAGTCAATGACCCTTTGTCACACCATTTAGGCGTATTGGGCATATAGGGCTAGACCTATATTTATTAGACCAATCAGCACTTGATGGGTAATCTGGTAACCTGGTAATCTTAGTTTCCGCTTCATAGCAAAACGGGTCACCCCATAGTTGCTCCGCTCCTGTGCCAACTAAAAATACACATAATGTTTATTACAGTCCCTTGTGGAAATATTGACAGACTGCTGTCTCAGGATATCTAGTATACACGTGCATTAAGAGCATACGGTAGTCATCCGAAGTGCCAACACAAACAGCCCGACATTAGAAATGCAGTTCATCATGGATGGTAGCAGAAGTCACCAACAGATCAGCAGTTGCACATCAATTTTAATCACACAAGAGCACCACCAATATTGCAACAACAGGAATCGAGCCATTTTTTTTTTTTTTTTGAATCTACAATTCACACCACCACGTTGGTCACAGTAGAAAAGCGTTTCAAATGAAATCAGCAGCTCACAGTGTCACGCCATGCACTCAACTCAGAAGCTGGGCGACGAAAATATCTTGTCAGTCTACAGATGGAGCAAAAATGCACCGGCCACCGTCTGGCAGAAGCAAAACATTTTGCCACGGCTCACAACAGTAACCGTGCCTAGCGTCCATTTTGACGGGAAGTATTAAGGGTTCATTAACGGTTACCCCAGTGGTGCCCTCGTGCTGGGAAAGGGGCCAAGGGCGTAACGCCAATCAACAAGGTGTCGCATCTGTACGACCTGATTGCCTTCGTTAACGATTGTGCACCCCACAACCATGCAGTTCTTTGGCACGAAGGAGACACTTTAAACTTGGGTTCTGAACTACCGACTCTCTACATGCTCACACGCATGTGCTAATAGTGTACAAAATTTATTATATTTCTCTCATATACCATTGTTTGTTTGTTTGTTTTAGTATCCAGAAGCCTTGAGTTGTTAACCCTTAGGCTCGGTATTATGGATATCGCAACCTTTCGGCCTTGATTCCATTGTAAATACCATAAATCTGGGAGAAAATGTGGCTTTCCTGCCTACCCCCGGGATTGAACCCGGACCACAAGGAGTACGTCACCCAGTCTCCGCGAAATCCGGTTTAGCCAATTCCGCTAGAGAGCCGGGCTCTCATATACCATTAGCCTTATATTCCAGCATACATTTATAAAAAAAAAAAAGGTACTCATGCCATGCATATATGCATACATACACTTAAACTTACTAGTAATATTTGTGACAAAAATTAATAATAATTAACAGTTCGCAAGCACTCACACATCAAAGTAGAGAGGGACAGAGAGGTATGTATACATATAAGGAAAAAAACTGAGACAGATAAAGAAGAGGGGAAGGAGAGAGAGATATCACTAAATGACTAATTCCTCCAGGAGGAAAATGTTCATCAATGCTTCTGTACAGTAAACCATAAATATTTGGTGTAGGGCATCAAAGATTCAATGTTTTTATCTTGAG